TAAGTTCATATGTCATGCTGTGTTGTAGCCTACAGAGTGCACAATTCTTCTCTTGATTCATGGTATGCATACATTTTATTGACATCACAAAAGTACAAATTACAACATTAAGTGTCCCTTATGTGATGTTATTCTAGTGTCTACTGATTGACTGACAGACAACACACTACTTTATAGTGATGCGATTGGTATAAACAGTTGGCCTTAGGCCTCCTTTCAGGGAAAAAAAAGCATCCTACACTACAAAATCTAAGTTATTCAGGCTAAGACTCTCATTCTTAGCTTCAAATCAGTTCTTCACAGTTACAAAATTACCTGTTGCTTAAAAAAGCAGAGAATTAAATCAAACTACAAGATAAAACAAAATTTGCTGGCTTCTGCAATGACAATACTTTAAGTTCTTATTCAAATGAAGTTTGGATTTTTTCTAATTATTGTTCTTTCTATACCTTATATACACGATTGTTTCAAGTTTCACAGTTGTTTGCATATCCCCCAACTACCATGTCTCATAAATAAAATAAAGCACCAAGTATTTGAAAGTACATCACATTTTTACTATACAAACATATACAAATTTAATTAACTTACAGCAATAATAGAAAAAATATACAAAAAGATAATTTACACTACATTACTTTAGTTTTCATCTTAAGAGTCACAACATGCTATTTTATAGTATTTCAAATTATTTAATTTTTTTCACAGATACATGGCTATATTTTCTTGAATGTAAGTAAAATTTAATTAATATATAATTTAAGTTAATAGCAAAAAATATTAACATTAAATAACAAACTGGAACCATATTATTTTTAAAAAACAATTGTATGTTTTATAGTTACCCATAAAACATTTTCATTGGACCACGTTTTCTTTTGTGTTCATCAGAAAATACAACTTATGCTATATTTTACATCTTGATACAAAAGAAAAGTATAACCAGAACAACTGCTCTATCATAAGGAAAGTTTACAAGAAACATTAAAATAATTACTCAAGAACCTTTTCTATTTTTACAAGTGTCCTAGTAAACTTTAAATTGCTTTGTTATTGATCAATTTTCATAAATTAGTAACAGCTACTTCATAGTTATAGGCATGTTATATGCATAACTAAGCCAAGTGCAAATTAAGTTTTATTTTCCTATCAAATCTGAATTAGTATTTCTGAACTAGCAATACAATTTATGAGTGTTTCTTCTCCTGCTTGTCAAACTGTAATTTGCCATTATCAAGCATCTTCAATAGCATCCAAGAAAAAAGGTTCCATAGATTTTCCGGAAGATGTTCACACCACCACCACTACAAAGAAATAAAAACAAAGTAATTTTACTGGAGATTGAGTAATGAATGCCGACTTATTATTATTACCTCATAATCAGACTTCAAAAATATCATTGGTATTGATAAACTATTTTGTATGAATTTCAAAGAAGTTCAAATCTATTTGATTTCCTGAACTTTTAGTAATTTGATGCATATAGTTACCATATGTGTGGATGAAATACTTTAATTTTGAATTAGAATAAATCTGTGAAAAGTTCTGATAATAAATAAATATGCAACTGTCTATATTTCAAAAATAACTCAAATAAACCCATAATTAATGTGCAACATGAAATTAGTAATGTTTAGTTTAACAAATAAAATGCTTTTCTATACTTCACAAGCTTTGTTGATAATAATTGGTCAAAACAAGTTATTTACTTTTCAAACACTGCACTTTCAATAAAACTAATAAGCATTTGACCAATGTAAGTTAGCACTATTGAAGATGAATATATCTATAGCACCCACTACACATTGCCTAATGTTCTTCTTTAGGAAGTAATCTTTGACCATTTACAATAACGTTTAAGTTCATTTTCAGTTTAAACATTACTTTTTTTTATATAAAGCATGGTTTGGCAATATATATTATATATAACAATTGCAAATCATCACTCAGAAACAGCAATGTTGTAAACATGTGAAAGGAATGCACTAACTTGAAGTCCATGCGTCCAATATCCTGTTGTACGACGAGCTGTGCCAACAGTGCTCAGAGCACTATTAACAAAAGTGCAAGTATCAGGAATGATATAACCTGGTTTGGTAAAAGAAGTAGGTTTGGTGGAAATATAAGAAGGCAGAAGTGTCTGGAACACAATTCCTTTGGATCTGTATTCATAATCTAAGGCTCGGGATAACCAGTCCACATAAGCCTATCATAAAAAAAAGCAACTGTAAATTTCTATTCATGTTCAGTACTCAGTGATTGGCATATCAGCTGAGCACTGTGTACTTCACAAGATTAATTATTAAGTACATTGTCCAATTCTGCTGAGAAATGTATACCTTACAATATTATTCATGAACTATGCTGTCCTATCTAGCTGAGCAGAGTGTACTTCACAAAATTAATTATTAAGTACACTGTCCAATACTGACAAGTAATGCATACCTCAAAAGATTAGTTATTAAGTACAATGTCATACGCAGCTGAGCAGCATGCACCTCATAATATTAATTATTAAGTAAAATATCCTGCATAAATGTGCTTTGCAATTTTACAAGCACATGTTTACAGTAAATATAAACATATAACTAATGGCATTTAGTTTACTTGTGTATTGTATGCGTATTCTAATCACTAGAGGCAAAACAAACAGTAATTTACAAAGATTTAAAACCACAGGTAAGTTTCATCATTTAAAAGAAACATCTTACATTCTCACTTAAGTTAGACAGTAAATTGTCATTTATTATAATGATTTTTTTACTTCCAGACCTTATGAACTACTGCAGCTTTTAACTATAATGTTACATTTAGTTAAGTAAGTAATTACAAAAGAAATTTCTAATCACAGCATACATGGATTTTTATGCATTCAATCTTATTTCTCTGCATTTTTATAATATGATACATTATCTTCATAAACAAGGTCTGTCTGACGTGTTGGCATATCAGCTCAGCAACTACAAAAATTTTACATTTACATTTAGACACAAAATTCCATAAATTGTTATTTTTCAAATCCACTACATAATTTTATTTTCTCTCTGTACACTTTACAATTATTGATTTTAATTCCATACGATCAGTGCTGTGCATTGTAAATTTGTTCAAGAGGAAAAACCATGTAAGTCTTTTTTTGAGCCATTTACAAACCCATATTTCCAAAGTAGAGCAACAATGCAAATACTTTTTTACTCATTTAAAAACTCATACTTGCAAAATAGAACAATGCAGATATCTCTTCAGCTATTTACAAACCCATACTTACAAACTGAAGCTCTTTAATTATCATTAGCCAAACAATACAACAAAATAAGTTGATACAGCACCAGTGTGATAAAATTCAAAAACACACACTTAATTAAAATCACTGTAATGATTAAAATAAAATAAGAATATTGTCAATGCTTGGGCAATCAATCTTCACTGATGTGCAGTTTTGTTTTGGCCAAATTATTTTCATCAGGACTCAATGAGGGTTGTTTGGCCAAAACACTGTCCATTTGTTTTTGTTGGCAAAGATTTTTTTCTACATATTTAATTGTACACTAAAAAGTTGGATATTTTTGAATAAAAACTTTCTTGGTGATATTAATGCATAAGAGTACTAAAAGAAGTACTTTAAACAATTTTAACCCCGCTTCTATACCATCAACTAATAATAAATCAATAAAAAATTACCTTGATGATACTTTACATCATAGTTACTATATAATACATGTGGCATGTAAGAAAACTTTAATGTATTACATTGCACTTCAAACCACAACAAAATTCATCACCAATGTAACACTTGTTTTGTCTTTCTTAATCTGTAGAAATAAAATTAGAATACTTCAGAAGTATTTTTCAGGCATGATGATTTTTATAAAGAACTTTTATAATCAGCACCACTGCCCAAGTTTGATACTAGAACTGTAAAAAATAACTCATAATAACAATTATCAACACCTTGATCTAATACTAAAATTACCAGAATGTTCTTTTGTTACCTTGGAAGCAGAGTAGACTGCCAAGAATGGAAGAGGATAAAATGATGAAATGGAGGACAGATTGATGATAAGTCCTTTCTCCCTTCAAAAATGAGGAATTTAGTTTTTATTTTCTTATGACCACTTGTAACATGTATTTATAAGTTTGCCAAAATGCACTATAAAAATATAATGCTAAAAAAAACAATAATAAATTCCTAGTGTTTGTATACAAACTATTAAAGTTTAACATATTCTTTACGATTGAATAATATAATAACTCACAATGTACATATTAAGGCTGTACTTCATCACCTTTGATATGTCTACATAATATAAAACTATTGTTAGCAAGACATCTTTTTCCTCCAAGAATTATCAATTGTTAATCACGTATGTAGCAAGACAATTATCATTTTTTGTTACAAAGCAATTTTACTCTCAGATACGTTATAACTGGATTAAATACCTGTGTTAATAACAATGGTAATTTAATTAATCTGTGTATTTATTCTGTTACTAATCACTCTCTATTTCTGTACACTGTAAGGCCTGACCTTAGTTACAACTTTAAAATTAAAGAGAAGGGGAAAACTATGTCACACTTGCCATAGGCATGTTCCAACATACTTGACATTATTACTGCTTGCACACTAGCTTACTTCTTTATGTAATATAACAAATTAGGCTTAAACCAAGACCCTCAGTTCACACCATTTTCTGAGGCCACTGACCTACAAGTTAGCTTAACAATATTCAAATTCCAACAGGATAAATATCAGTAAGGCAAGCTGGAATTACCTTGTGGACAAAGTCCAGATGGATATCATTTACATGCAAGCTGGTAAAGTACCTAATCAGGTTTCATTTTTAGCAAACACCTTACAAGAATATGAGCAGGTCAATGGAGTTAAAATGAATAACCCCCTTTAGATTATTATTTGTTTCATGAGAGAAAAAGCATTTAATTAATTTTCCTTAAGTCAAAATACTACTGTATACATAAATTCATATTATTTTGTCACTGTTACTGCCTCAATTTTTATTGCAGATTTTCAGAGTTAACAGTATAAACATAACAGTATTAAACTTACTGTAGATATGATCATCACAGTTCTCATCTTGCTTTCTTTGATACATTGGCCCTTATCAATGCAAGCCTAAATATAAAAAGAAATCACAACAAACTCTGAGCCTAAAACCAAATGTTAAAGTGTAACCACCAACATTGGTAGAAGTAGATAACCTCTTAAGCATGTGGCAAATATAAAAGGTCTTTCAGCAGTGTACCCCATTACTTTCAGAAACTGGGGGTGCAGTGTTCCCCTATATTTTTTCTGGGGGGGTATAAATAGAAATTTATCAGGTTCAACATCCTAACATTTAAATCAATCTCTCTCAAAGATCCCAAGTCTAATATTACGAACATGCTAGAGTTTATAATAATATATGATTTTTTAAACTTTTAATTTATACCAATATTTATCATATTTTTGTACATCTCAATTGTTCACCTCCTTTTTTTAACAAATTATCAAACAGAAAAATTATAGATTATTAAATATTTTAAAATCAAATGGTGTTTTGCATTCTACCTTCTGAGCAAAAGCCATACGTCATTTCCCAGACAATGATGTTAAAGGCATCAACTTGGTGCCAAGACAATGTACTACATTGGTAATTCTTGCTTCTGCCACAAAATTCGTGGCTTCAGGACACAAATTTCACCCTCAGATTTTACAAATAATTTATAGCACGTCAAACCATCTTTTTCTCATAAGCCAAGAAAACCGTAATCCATTTGTATTTATTTAGCCTTATTAATTGTAATGTTTTCCTTAGACAACCTAGTCAATGTCTGTATGACAGTGGCATTTTCAGTACTACTATGTATATTAGCTGGAGTCTCACCTCATTGTTTTCTATTTTTGTTTAATTCCTTATCACTAACAGCAAAGAAACACACTTTTCTCTACACAATTCCCATATACCATGTTCAGAACTTGTGTATACAGTGCATGTACATGACT